CTAGCCGTGCACACGTGACTGCGAAATGCAACATTTATATTATACACTAATTCAAGGACGGGGGCACGCGGTAGCGTAGTTGGTTGAGGAGCTATGCTACAACCGGAAGGTCGTGGGTTTAAGTCCCGATGAGGCCATTCGATTTTTCAATTGACCTAATCCTTCCAGCCGCACTAGTCCCTGGGGTCGACTCAGCCTCTAACAGAAATGAGTACCAGGAACTAATTAAATAATTTTCCTGGGGAGTAAAGCGCGGCCGGCGCGTAAGGTTGACAACCTTACCGCCATCTTTGAGCCGATTGTCTAGATAATGTGGGACCCTCAACGTCTCACAACCCTATGGGCCTCCACGGCCTGTTACAGGGATAGCTTTACTTTTTTTTTTCTTTTACTAATTCAAGGACAATTTGTCTATCCTTTCCTCACTCTCTTCCTTGGGTTTGTATTCTTCCTTTCGTTTTCCAATATTCTTTTTCTGGTTCCTTTTATTTCTCTATCCTGTCAATATTCATCTCCCTCTTCCTTACTTTAGAAGTTCTGTAAACATCGGTCAAAACATGACACTGAATGAGAACAGCAGTGAAAATGTTGAGCTCTCCTGTTTTCTACGTAATTTCAATGCCCAACCCAAGGCCCGTGCCTCCTGTGGGGGCGCACACGCACGCATGAACACACTGGATTTTATATTTACTCATGGTTTCTAATTGCTTGATACTTAAGTGTATTCATTTTCTGTAAGTACATTAAGCCTAATAAATATTCATGTCCTTCATTACTTAATGTAGAGGAAAACATCACTACACGGACGAATAACTTCATATTTGCAAGAAAAAGCAATGGATCTCTGCTCTATACGTGTCAGTTACTGCTAATTAAGAAAGCATGCATGCTTGGAACCAAACCAAATCCATACACATAAACATTACACCCGACAGTTAGATTCTAAAAGGTTCTGGCGATGGTGTATAACACTTGGGATTACTGGGTTTATGCAGTTTGCCAATTGTCCGATGTTTTCAATAAAACAACGTTTCGGAAACTGAATATTTCTATTCTCAGGTGAAGGAATGGGAGATACCTACTCTGTTGGGTCAGTTAGAGAGGGCTAACTTCAATCACTGAACACAACTCCAGTCACAAATTATTCCCGCTCACTGTTATGGCAGTTACGGTTAACATATAAATAAATATGTATTGAGGCGATCCTGTTGTGAATAACTCAAAATTCTGAACTTCAGAGGCCACCACAACATAGCGTGTTTATTAAACTAGCCCGATAGCCCGTATTAGACAATACCATGCATAGTTTAACTCGATGTACGGTTATTTGACGGAAACTTAAGCCTACGTCACTTACAAATAGTCCGTATTTCTCATTCCAACAGGCCGTTATTTAGCATTCCTGTCTTCTGGGCTATGATTTCATAATCTAGTAGAGAGTACCAAGATTTCGGAAGAATCCGACGCCTCCTTCTTCAGAGTAGAAGTAACTTTTGTTTTATACAGCGGTAATGACTGTTTCACTGGCATAAACAAAATGCTCTTCTCCTCAACAGGAAATATATAAATATATTCGCAGATTTCTAACGATGCACGTAGAAGTTTTACTGTTTCTTGAAGCAAACTGCAGATGGAAGACATTATTAAACATCAGACAGAATTTAATTTACATCCCCAGCGATTGTCGTAGCGCTTCCAACATTTATATGTCCTCCATAATTTCCATTTTACACACGAAATACGTATCTACAGACCTCGATGTGATGAATTTCTTTGCGGTGTACCGAAACCTGTGGAAAGATGTGTTCTGACGTCCTTCAACACATATCACTCTGCATGGCTTTCCGTAAAGATGAACTGCAATCATCGCCATGGAAAGTGTCGAATGGTACCGACTTCAGAATCAAGAAATCCAAGACAAAACTGTTGCCAATATTTGCAGCTCTATCCCCGTTAATACATTTTGCAGCCGGTATAATGTTGCCAAAAGCATTGCCTGCCGCACGGAAATTCGTTGCGGGAAAGAGTACCGACGTTCTGACGTGACAGGTTGTCAGCACTGGTTTGCTGAAGGAAGGGCACACAGCTGCCCTGCACGGTGATTCCTGTCCCAATTTATCAGTAGGACCTATACGGATTAGCCATCTGTCATGCTGCGGTGTCAGAATGGGAGATTGTGTTACGGCTGTTGTTGGCCATCAAGCGAATCAGAAAAGACCTGGAACGGACAACGTTCTAAACTGCGTTCTGAACAAGCGGAAACAAACTGAGTGGCCGTGGTATGGAACCGCGTTCTACTGAGCATGCTCGCGGTGTGACCTCCTTGTGATCACCCGAACTGCTGACTTGCAAGGCGCTAGTTACGGTTCTGCTGATTTCAGATCAAAATGGTACACATCGTTCTGTTTATTTCTGTGTGTTAGTTGTTGTTAAGCCTCCAATTTTAATGAAGGAAACAGGATTTGAACTGGTGTATGAGTTTGTCAGATATCACCGTGGTATGCGAAGGTTTCTAGTCTATACAAGAGTGCGGCAAAGCTGACAATAACCATCCATGCATCCACAATTATGTGTTGCGATAAATAAGTCATTTGCACCATTCACCACCTCAAATGCCTTCAAACTCTTAACGCAATCCACCAAGCGCAGTTCCATTGTATCGGTAATATTTTCTTAGTTTTGTTTACCATTTTCAGAGAATCGAAAATTACAGAAAATACATTCCTCCTCTCTTACAGTTTAAAGATGGATTCTGAAAAAAAAAAAAATTCATTTTCCGACATGAAAGTTCACCTCTCATCACATCAAATAAACCAGAGGACACGTGATAAACCAAACGGTAATGTGGTTCCACATCTTCCCCCCCCCCGACAGGATGCTTCGTGTAGGATAGCTTAAATATCTCACTGCATCAAAGTTGCATCTTAGCATCCTGTTGCAGTTGGCATTAGAATCTATTTTTAATGTTGATTATCGTCCACCATTACCACAATTAAACAATACAAAGATTTAATACTAAATCCGTTATAAGAATCTGCCACTGCACTACATGTTTCGGCCTACTCGGCCATCGTCAGGTGCGTTGAAATTCGGGGTAACTGCTGTGTCTTTGCGCGGCCGCAATTCGTGTTTTCGTGTTTACAATTTCAACGCACCTGACGACGGCCGAGTAGGGTGAAACATGTGGTGTAGTGAAAAATTTTAAAAAGCACTGAATTTTAAGTATTAATATTGTTGCATGGTGGATGGTAAACAAAACTAATAACAGATTCTAATATCACTCCTCATTGGAAAAATGAAAACGCACATTCAATTCAGGGGATGACTGTGCCAATCAGTTCTGAATATTTTCTTTCGCAATCTGAAGACCGGATTCTAATATTTCGCCATGACAATGCCCACTGAAAGTAATTCATTAAACTGGACAATTCATATCGAAGCATACACCAAATCCGTGTACGGGCAGAACTAAATTTAATACACGGGAACGCTGAATGTGTGCTTCTTACACAAATGTCTCTCTTTCAATGGAGTCGATACAATTCGATAAATGTTCTGTCTTAATCTCAGAGTAGCCGTTGTGCGATTAGGGATGGGGAAGACCAGTCCTCCCGTCTGACAATTGTTACCCTTCTCAACAGTGGCGCTGGTGTCGTGTAATATCCATAATCCTTGTTGCCAAATCTCACAACAACATCAAACATGCGGGCCAGTGTTGCCAAAAATTTGCAAGCTAAACAAAGCGCCATGAGATGTCGTTATTGAATATAATTATAAGAATCCTTGCAGTACTTAAACATTACTAATTAAGTCATATGAATATCATTGAACCTATACCCTTTAAGCTCAAATATAAGTGGAGGCTTTTGATCGTTTTCATGGCCTGAGTAAGTAAAGTGACCATATCATTGTTGAGCTCCGCTCGAGAACGCTCCGCTTTCATCACGTCTCAATTTATATAATATAAAAGGGACCACGCGGTTAGCGTTAAAGCCTTCTGCGACATGACGCTGTGAACTCCGACGTTTCTGACGAACCTACACAATCCGCTGTTTCTACTCTAAAATGAAAACAGCAGACTTCTCTGAAAGTTTGGTGCCTATGTACCAGAATATGTGACGTCACATCCATACACACATATGTGTATTCTTGATATCAGCCTCCATAATAACTTCAAATGTAATGTTCAAGTGTTATCGGATGATGCGTCGAAGTAGTTTGACGATTACTGCCATCTGTCAGGCACATAAGCTAATTACGTCGTCAGTGAGAGCACACATACACGTATTAAACTGGCTAATATTTGTTTGAAATATAAAAAGAAATATCGATAGCTAATATCTTTCAAAGGCAATCTAATATTAAAACATTTCTTACAGCAGCCAATCACAATCGAAATTTCTTCTAATTCTTAATACAGCGGTCTCATTCTGCAAGCACGGCACAGAACGTCTCCACAACGGCCCCACTCCAGAAAGTACCAGTTATGGAAACAAATGACGCGAAATAGCCAACATGGTCGCGTTCCGTGAGAATCGCAACACGGCACACATCTTCGTGAGGTGCAAAGGAAGCACTAACAGATGTTGCAGGGGGAATTGTCGTTATGTACACTACAGATGTCGAACAATGCTGTTCAACTGTTGAACATATTCGGAACCAGCATCATTCCTGTCTATCGTAATCAAGCTTAAGATTGCCAGTCGATTTCTCCCAAAGAGCAACTCAACCGCCGCTCATCAGCCTTCCCCTATCAACCTAAACATGAGGAAACCTGGCACAGAGAAATCTTCACTTATCGCTTTTGCATTTAACATAATTTCCTCTAATCTCCTTCGTTTCCCTTCTCTTAACTAACTGTATGTTGCTAAGTCCTTCTTGAGAAACTGATGATCGCTCAGCTAGCTAACAAGTTTCGTTATGAATGAATGTATTAGGGGTAGGCCTTGTCGGCCCTTGCACCGTGTCCTACAGTGGTCTATTGTGCTTCCCCTTTCACTATACTAGCTTCAGCGGTACATATACTGAAATTGGAACGATAAAGAGAAGATTAGAATGCCCCCTGCGCAAGGATGACACGCAACGTGTAGTTTCGTTAACTTGTTCATAAGAGTCAGTCACTGGAGTCACATGAATCAACTCCACAACTTTCAATCGAATTCCTCTGACCTCCACTTTAGTATCATCCTCGCCTCTACGAACCTATCGTACCTATCCAGAATTACCCATCGAAATTCTGTAAACATTTCTCATCTCTCGTGTCCTTTCGACCTCCTTTATCTCATTTCATCACACTAATAACATCACGTGAAGAGTACAAGTTATGAAGGCTCTCAGTTTGCAGTTTTCTCAAAGCTCTCTTGTCACCTATGTCTTGGACCTAAATATTCTTCTTAGCACCCTGTTCGCAATCACCCTCAATCTATGTTCTACCCTTAGCATGGGCCACAAAGATTCACACCCATGTAGAACACTTCTCCACACACAACATGTTTGTCCTCCTACTGCTGACGTGAAAGGAGCTTTTGCAGCGGACAGCGAGTGTTTAGTTCACACGATTATGCCTGCGCCTCCCTTCTTTGTGCCAGAGCCTGGGTGCAGGCGCATGCGCGTGTGTCTTGCAATCAATTTACCATATGCGCACGAGTGCACTCGCTTCATACAAATCAAAACGTTATGCATGTTGGTGGATAATTAATCTTCGTCGAAATTCATCCGGCCGATCGGTGTAAATGTTAAGGGGACGGTAACAACAGGTCACGGTGAAAAATTAGAGGCGATTTTCTTTTTGCGTCTCATTTGCTGGTGAGCTGATCTTTCAACCTCGTTAATTGCAACGTTTGCATATACAGGGTGTTCGTGTTTGCTATCTACACACATCCCCCGGTGGGAATAATTTTAATTTGCTCACACTATTTAGCCCTTCACATTGTCACGTGTAGGGTGGTACTCGTAACTAGAATGAGGGGTTCTAGCTCGGGGTTGGATTTATTGGCACTTTGGTTACAACCTCTCTTGATCATTTTTTTTATTCTAGTGGGGTGGAACTTAGTCCCTTGTACTGCAGCCACTTCTGGCCTATTGTACCAGCCACAGATGATAGGTGAGGGTGATTGCGGAGCAATTGGTGGATTGAAGATTGACAGGGGAAACCGAAGTACTTGCATAAAACCTGTCCCAGGGCCACTTTGTCCACCACAAATCCCACTTTACCAGATCCGGGATCGAACCCGGGCCGCCGCGGTGAGAAGCCAGCGACTAACCGCTTGAGCTACAGCGCGACCAACTCCATAGCTTAATCTTATCTATTTAATCGCTTCTTTTGCTTATTTCACGAAGCTGTTAGTAGCGCCGCCTATGCGGCGTAGAATGATACTTTAATTGATGAATAATAAATTGCAGATAATGCAGAAGGCAGCGATGATAGTGTAACCTGAAATATTCACGAAATTGCACTGAACAACTGAGCTAAACGACTAAGGAACTCAGCCAGAACAGACGGTCTCGAGCCAGATGAAGTTCATACCTTATAATACAGCACGCAAACTTCTGTGTTGCACGGGCTGGGTGATTATAGACTGTCAAAATGGGCCCCAATTTGGCTTAATGCAAAATGGTTTTCAACTTAGTTCCAAGTCAGAAGCTTTGGGCCCTGCGCTGCGGTCACCTTTGTCCACTGCGCTCCATTATTAAGTTAGGAGGTTCGCTGTTACAGCTAGCGCCACACTGAATGCAACCGGACTCGAATTGAATACCTGCATAGAAGTTGGTCGCCCTGCCTCCATGGCCGGCCGTACAACGGAACAAAACCAATTCAGTAACTTTCTCTACTGTGCGCATACTTGGAAAGGATAATTAAACATAGAAGATAAAAACTTGACGTTTTTGTTCACATGAATTTTATTGTTCCAGGCTAAAACATTAAATAGGAATGGCTACATCGTAANATTATTATTATTATTATTATTATTATTATTATTATTATTATTATTATCTTGCTCTGGAGGAGTTAAAATTGCACACTCTACGAATTAGAATGGATCGCCTCGATGCTCTCTTTCTTACTCAAGTTTATTTTGGTTTCAAAATCTGCATTTCCGTTCTGAAAATTGTTGGTCTTCGAATGCCTGCTCGGTATATCAGAGACTTTGTATTGTTCACTGTCTGCTCCACACCTAAAAATTGTCCTTCTGCTAGATGTGCAGCAGCTGTTAATATTGTTTGCAGGGACCTTGACGTAATCGGAGCCAGGAACGTTCTCCTCAATCGATTTTTATAATATGGTATAACTGTTATTATTATTATTTGCACGAACATAAACTAGAATTTAACTGAATTATTATTGTTCTTTCTAAATGTTTATGGTTTGCGTTTCTTAATTCTCAATAGCAACTTAGATTTGTGT